GAAGATAGATTACTAACTGATTAAAAAAAAAGCTTGCAGATAAGCGGGTAGCGTGTGCGCCTGTACAAGCGTCTTTTTCGCAATACTCCCAAACTTACAAATTCGAGTACAACTGAAGAGAAAACTAACTTATGATTTTCGTTGGCTTTAAGCTTCAGTGCAATATATCGTAAAATTCTATTTAACTTCAATTAAACAAAAATAAGGGTTATCTATAGAATACATTATTATTATTATTTTGTTTTTGGTATTGGTTAATAAAATTAGATAAGTAGCGAGCCGCCTCCTATGTCATGTTGTTAATTAACTTCAATGCTACTATATCAGACATTACTCATTTCAACAAATGCAAAGAAAACGTGGAACTCTGTTGTAGATCTTATACTGTTCTCTTAGTCTTGCTAGGCTGTTTTGAACCAATTCTAATTATATCTCTGCAGTGACTCGAAGTATTTTGATTTCTTCAAAACGTTCCTTTAGGTTGAAAATACTAAGATTAATGATAATTAAGAAGAGTTTGAGTATATTAAGAACAATTATTGCTTAGCCTCAATATTCCCAATTTTAACGCGTAGTTTATATTAAGAGGCTTCAAAATACAGCAGACATAGACATAGCTAAACGTGAGGGCTTCATTTATGGAAAAATAAAAGAGAAGAATAAGACGCTTTTAGTGCTACTGCTGTAACTATAGTTCCAAGTAGCGAAAAACTATCTAAATTCAGTTTGTAACTAATATAACAAACATCATTATGTACGCTTTTCTAACTAATGTAGATGTACACAAACTCTGCGACCAGGGATTTTTAGCTAATGTACAAAACTCCATTACAAACGTTTTTCTAATTAATGTACACGCACACGAACTCTATAGCCAGGGTTTTCTAGTTAATGTACAAAACTCCATTACAAACGTTTTTCTAATTAATGTACACGTACACGAACTCTATAGCCAGGGTTATCTAGTTAACGCACAAAACTCCATTACGAACGTTTTTATAATTAATATTCAAAACTCCATTACGAACAATTTTCTAACTAATGTACGAAACTCCATTACGAACGTTTTTATGATTAATATTCAAAACTCCATTACGACCACTTTTCTAACTAATGTCCATTTATAAAACTACAATTAAAACTTTTCTATAGCTAATGTATAAAAACTCCACTACAAACGATTTTTTCCTAATTTATTTTCGTAAATTCACTCACGTGAAAACCACTGCAAAAAATATAAACACCATAATTTCAAATTAAGCAATTAAAACACTGATTTTATTACGCATTTGTTTTTAATTCATTGTATTTTAAAATCTATCAATGCTTATTGGTTGTTGTTTTTATTTTTTCAACTGATTAAAAATATGACGTAGAACCTTATTTCTAGCGATTTTATAAATCACTTTTTAATGTAAGTGGTCACGTATTAGAGCGAAATAATGACACATTAAATGAGAGTTTAGGATCATTTCATTTTAATTGCCCATGGGCTGTTACCCATATAGAACTTAAATTTAACTACAGTTCACAGTTTTAAATGAAAAGACTTTGCTATTCAAAACCTGTGTAGTGTTCCAAATGACCAGTCTTCAAACATGGACAAGTTGAAATTCCTTGTTTTATTGAGTGTATACAGATAAGACTAATGTAAGTTACCAATTTTGCTCGACTGTAGTACCCCATTATTTTAGATTGAGTAACATATTTATATCCAATTTAAAGAGCCATTCCGAATTTTCGACCAGTCAAAATAACCCTAAGATTAGGTGTGAGGAGCGAATACACCATTTATTTTTATTAATTACATATATTAAACTTATACTTGGTTGACCTGGCTTCAAATTTCTATGACAACAAAATATGAAATCAGTAAAGCCTAACCTTATATACATACAAATAAAAATAGTACAAGGGACCATCCGTAAAAAGACTACATATTCTTACGCCATCATCTATTAATTTATTTATGCTTAACCCTACCAACACGCACTAAGAAGGGACAATTAAGATTTGTTTGAAGTTAAAAGAATCAACTTATATTCCTTGGGGAAAATTATGAGCGTTTTTATTTAGTGAACTGAACGCAAGTAAGTGTACTAATCACAAATAAAAATAATTTTGTTTTTGCTTTACTGGTGGGTCATTCTGCATAGTAAGTGTGCGTTTGATTTATTTTGTAAACCACTGCGCTGGGTGTAGAAGTGCCAGTGTTATATGAGTAGTATAACTGTCATTGTTTACAATGTATGACGATTCAAATTGACGGACTTAAACGCTAAACTTCGGCGTTCGATTTTTCATGATGGACAAAGCGCAGAAAGCCTGTTGTGTAGTTTAACGCTGAGACAAACCAACCAGAAGACATTTTATAAAATTGGTTGTATATTCTCATTATAAATTTTCTCCTAAATAGAAAAGACATAAATAAATACAGTAATAAAGGGCCACCTATATAATACAGTAATAAAGGGTCACCTATATAATACAGTAATAAAGGGTCACCTATATAATACAGTAATAAAGGGCCATCTATATAATACAGTAATAAAGGGCTACCTATATAATACAGTGATAAAGGGCTACATATATAATACAATAATAAAGGGCCACCTGTATAATACAGTAATAAAGGGCTACCTATATAATACAGTAATAAAGGGTCACCTATATAATACAGTAATAAAGGGCCATCTATATAATACAGTAATAAAGGGCCACCTATATAATACAATAATAAAGGGTCACCTATATAATACAATAATAAAGGGCCACCTGTATAATACAGTAATAAAGGGCTACCTATATAATACAGTGATAAAGGGCTACATATATAATACAATAATAAAGGGCCACCTGTATAATACAGTAATAAAGGGCCACCTATATAATACAGTAATAAAGGGCTACTTATATAAACCGATTAAAAAAAGGCTATCTCCATCTAGATAACAATAAACACAGCCACAAAGGACATTGCACATAGAAGTAACAAAGTTAAATAAAAACCATCTGCGTAGTAACAGAGGAAAACACAGTATGGAAGAAACATATACGCAAAAATATTATTCAGTATTAATAATATGATGTACATTCCTCGTGTAGCTAGTTATTTCATATATTTTTATCTCCGTTAGTAATAAATGCAGAACTCTGAATTTCGTGAAATTCCGTCACAATTATTTTAAGGTTTTCTTTTTGAGACTGCTCATGATCAGTGTAGTTGTTGTCTTACCTAAGTACCATCAACCTTGATAAATAAGGACCATAAACATTGCAATATATGGTCCTTATTTATCAAGGTTGTTGGTATTTAGGTGGTCCTTATTTATCAAGGTTGTTGGTATTTAGGTGGTCCTTATTTACTGTTTCTTGTTATGTATTTGGTATTTATGCATTATCTTTCTTGTTTTGCAGGGCCCTTACCTCCTGTGTTTGTTGTTATATAGGTGGTCCTTGTTTATTGGGTTTTTTTGTTATGCAGGTGGTCCATATTTATGTGCTTTAGTGTAAGTGGTCCTCAGTTGCTATATTTGTTATGCGTTTGTTACTTTCTTGTTTGTATATATTCCTTTAAGTTTTGTATGTTGCTATATAAGTGTTCTTTTTACTTATTTTATATCCTTTTCATTGATATGCAAGTGGCGCCTGTTTAATCAAAACTAATAGTGTACTTATGGAGCTGTATTGTATTACCAAATAACTAAATCAAATTTTCTGTTGTTAATTGCAATCATATTTTCATGTTATTTAAACCAATATCAAGCTGTCACTTTTTGCAGACATATTTGTAGCTGTGTGAAGAGTTACTATTGAATATATAACGGAAACCGATATATGGTATCATGTTTATATAACTGAATCAGGCATGTGATGCTGTGGTTATAAAACAGAATCAGACATCGCTGAATTTTGGTTAGATTAGATCCAGTTTGATTATTTTCCTTCAACTCAATTACGAGTTATATGTCGTATTATTCATCCTGTTCTTATTGTTTAGGGGATCATCGGGTTAATAAGGATAATGTCGGCTTTTGTCATATATGAAATACTTCTCACGTGGCCCATTGAAAAAACTGCTGTGGGGGTGGCCTACTAACTTAGAACATTTTACACGCACCCCCATGCTTCTTTGTTGTACGAGTTCATTCGTAGCAACTATTTTTTATATTTCCCTTGATGTAGACCAATAATTAGTTTGATAATGAAGTAACGGGTGAACAAACAAACAAAATGTTAATCTGATGGTGATAAGAGAAAAACTAATGGAATACTGGCAAACATTCAGCGCTATAAACACTGGTTGACTCTTAAATTTCTGAGTAAGGGATTGCTTGTGTCAGTCAGGCGTCGCACTTAGAATCCCTTCTTCACGTGCGTCATTATGGTGCTTCACCCGATTTATCGAACGTCATTCTTGCTGGCTGGTGCAGTTGCGGGTGTATTATCATTGGTGGGGGCTATAGCGCATTTGTGTAACTGTCCCGATATATCATCAACGGCCTGAACGAGGCTTCATGATTCCGAACAGCCTTTTAGCTTACAGGAAGCCTTTTCTTGCTCAATCGATAAAAAACTACTTATAACGTGAACCACACGTTGGGCTTCCCTCTTTTTAAAAGACTGTAGAAAATAGGGAACATTTAGAGGAGGTTATGGGGGAGCGAATCTCGAGTCCACATCGCCGCTTACCTGACTGATAGTGAGCATGCTCAGTGGAGTAAAAAAAAAACAGAAGGAAAAGAAGACAGCGCCCCCTAGTGGTGATAACAAGAGCTACAAAGTTTGAAAATGTACATGTATAATATTGATGTCAAGCGATTCCATAACGGGACAATACTTACTGTAGAATAGCTGTGCAGATCATTTGACTTGAATAACGCGTTCTTGTAATTTAACTGTGATACTTAAATATAATGAAAAATATTTGTACTAAAACATCTTTATTTTTTACTATAAGAAGTCATCAGCACTGTGAATCACTTTTACTTTGGCGAAAATACCTGATCATACATTGTTGTTTGCTAACGACTTGAGTTCCACCTGCAAATGACAGGGGTGCATATGTTGATCTTGTGTACTTTGAACTTCCCGACGTTTCCATGCGGACCTAACGACGCTGTGTTTGCCTCATACGGGCGGGGCACGAGCTACTAACTGCCAGTGCTTGTCTACTTAGAGGTTCGATAGAATCAGGGCGCGTGCAGGTTTCTGACTGGCTGTTGGATTGCCCTGTCACGCAGCTGTTTGCCACTCAAAGCAGGCGAGCAACGAACAGTTTCCCCACACCCCCAGGCCAATGTAGTGGTGATCTTCCTCAACCCCAGTCACGTTGTTCTCCAGTCACCCTGCTAGATACATAGAATTACAAAAACTCACCAACCCTTCACGTCTGAGAAATTACTTGTAGCGTCTGCAAGTCTAATCGTAGAATTGGAGTAACAACATTTTTCTTTAGTGGGACAACGAGGGGCAAATCGTTTCGAACGGGTTGCGACGCCGCCAGTTTTACCGTTAATTCCCTCGGTGTATGGAACGGAGGCATAACACACGATACGCAGCCGCCTTAGCTGCAGCTGCGGCTGCTCCGCCAAAACAGAGTGATAAAGAGAAAGGTATAAGAGTGGAGAAAGAAACAGAAAATCCTGAACCACAGGATATCACTGAAACTCCATCGGTAATGAGCAAGCAAGAAATGTATGAAAGTTTTCAAAGCTGGGCTCTTAAGACTTATGGCGATAGCGCCAAAACCAAGACAGTGACAAGACGAAAATATAACCGAATATTGAAAATTCTAAAAGGAGAAGAAAATGACAATGCCGAAAATTCCAAATTCCGATTTTGGGTCAAAGCCAAAGCGTTTCGTATTGGACCACCGCCGGACCAGCAGATCGAAGGGAAGCGATCAGACAACTTGTTATACGTACCTTGTAGCCGACTTACTGTAAGTAAATATTAAAACAAAATTGTATTTAAGCAAAATTTCCAATTACTACTTGATAACGTCAAAAGTGTAAACAACGTTAACAGCTGTTCATGTTTGTTGTCTCTTCTTGGAACAGTTAAACAGCTAGTGACTTGCGCAGTTTGTTCCTTGAAATCTATATGACACAGAGCAGGCTGTATTACATGATGTATGTTCTACACTAATATTAACATCCAATGTTCTACTTTCAACTTGACAGTAAGATGTAATGAAGCACTTTGTAAATATTCATGTACTAGTGAAATAATACATGCTGAATATTTTTACGTTATCGTATTTTCTGGTTGAATATATATGTGTAAAAGTACACAAGGTTAACAAGTGCGTCATCTTTTTCCAGATATTGTTATGACATATTGTTTTGTGGGAAAAAAAGACCATTTATAAAACAATGTTGTTGATGCCATAATGCACTTTAACTTCATGTTCTAAACATTGGAAAAAAAAGTAAATGTCACCAACAAGTTACTATCGCAACTAACCGTAGAACTGGTATAGATTTTTGACACATGTTGCGTGAACTAATTAAATGTTCTAGAAAACCACTGACTTTAGATTGTTTATACTGAATTCATTGTGTCATAACTTCTAAAATTTGTGTGTTTACTCTTTTTAATTAATTGTCCTTCATGACGTGAAACATTTTCCGTAGTTTCAATTCAAAGCACGAGGCCTACACAGCAAGATAGATAACCAGGCCTTGTCTCCATAGTTTATTTATGCATTAGTAATGTACAGAAACGCTCTAATGATCTTATCGTGTTAATAATGACTTACTGCCCGGCGGTGTTGCGTCTTTTTTGTTAATTGTTTAACATGAGAAGCAATTATAAAGACATTTAAGGACATCTACAATGAATACCACTTATGTGATACTTTCAATTGTACATTGGTATAAAATCTTAGAAATATAATACACCACAAGAAACGTGGGTTTGTTTTTTACTCAAAGATCTAAATTATTTGGTCATAAATTTTTTTATACAAAATACCTTATATCCTTTTTTCAAAGACATTTTTTAATGGAAGGGACGATCTGAATTGACTAATACTTATTAAATATCTTTAATATTAGTAACCAACTATTGCTAACACTTAACTATAACCGTGTTTGCGACCAAACTTGTGCTTGGAATCAAAACTTATGTATTAAAGCGCCTCGTTAATCTATACAAATATTGTCAACACTTGTATACTTTTATCATAGATGCAGTTACTTCATTTTTATCTCAGAATTCTTATTAAAATGACTTTAACTGCTAAGTGATAAAAGATCGTACTTAACCAATGAGAAAATACATAATCTACGGATAGTGCTTATTTGTTTATAATTTCCATTCTTTTAAGCCTTTGATTATTGCCTAGGGTTCATTCTGCACCAATATTAAATGTTGTTCTCTGACATAAGTGTACCAGTTCGTTACTTAAAAAAAAGTTTAACAATGTTTTATAATTACTATTATACATATATCCTCTCTTCGTAAAAGTTCTGTGAATTAGAAAAAATGAAACTTGGCTATAAAATGTGTCTTTCTATTGATAGCATGATAATAGGAGGGTTAAAATACATTCACTTGAAACTTTACTTCAGGGAAGGTATTACGACGAAGAAACTTGTTCTAAACAATATTACACTGCAATTAGAAGCGTTTACGGTTACGAGTAGGCGTGTTTGTATGAAACACATACGTTGCCTTAAGTAGGAACAAAAAAAAACACTGGTAGCTAGCTATAGTAAATCAATTACACACACATATCGCATTGCTATTTCATTTAAATTATGACATTTGGAAAATCTCAACTAATTTATCTCACGTAAACACTTAGAAAACGTGATGACAAACTGATGTGGACTCACACGTGTCAGTGACAAAAATCGATGGTGTTTTACGCCCGTCATTAGTGAATACATGCACGTGCCGCGTATTCTTAATGTATCCGTATATTAGTATTCTGTGGTACCGAATTTAATTTACCCCATTTAAATCAACTAATATATTGTAAACATATACAAGTTAAAGAGAAATTAACGCATAAGCTTCGAGATTTTCATTTAAATATTACAAGAGTAACACCATTTGTAAGGATCAGGCTTAACTACAAGATTTGTTGTGTAACCAAAAACAGTATTACTAAGGCCGTCTGCTGTCGTCCATAATTTTGAACTGCTGACCAGAGGGAGGGTAGCCAATCAGCAGCACTTTACTACCCACCATCCACGGTAAAGGATTGACTGTACTCATTTTAACGCACCCACAGCTTAAAGCGGGAAGGGGATGTTTTGTGGCACGCACGGATTCGAAACCAGCTCGCCAGGTTCGAAATTCAGATCTCTACCAAGAACCAACCAGCACCCCTATCTGTCTGTCTATTGTTTTGTAAACAATCCCTTCGAGAGACAAACACACTATTATATATATACTAAAGTGTGTTATGTGAGAAATATACAATTTCCACTTGTTGAACAAAAATACAAATCGGCAGAAGGTAAGCTACTTCAGAAAATGTCATTAGTAAGAAAAAAATCCAACTTAACAAGCTGCTAAATGTACTAATTCATAATATCAAAGTTATACAACAAAGCAAATACACTCTGAGGTACAAAAAGTAGTATTTCTGACACGATACAACTATATAGTTTTATTTAGTATCATAGCCTACTTCATGATTATCTAATACATTCAACCGCTAAACTTTTTATGAACAAATAAATCGCCAAAAATGAATTTAACTCACGAAAAAGCTGTAGTTTAAAAATATTGTTCCATTTAAAAAATAATCTTTGAAAACAACAAAAGGACATTTCGATAGGTGCGTACTTAACTGTTAATTTAACAAACTTCTTAACTCCATAGATCAGATGGTGTATCTAAATGCAAATATTCCTTAAGTAATATCAGTGTTCTTATTATTGCAAATGACTACATCATTCAATATTTTCAAATAGGTAATTAGATACAATGATATAAAACAATCATTTTAAATGAACGTTACGCTCTAAGTGAATTGAATATTAGAGAATCAATAGAAGCTTTGGGAAAAAAATCATTATTTTTTTTTGTGTATATAAAAATTTATACAACCCTTAAAGTTTACAATGAGTTATATTTCTTCCCGCTTGCCATATATGTTTTAGTCCTAATGATGGAAACATAAGGCTACCGAAACAAGTAGTCTTTTAATGGAGGTCTTCGGCCAAATAAAGTTTTTATTGTGCATATTAAACCTTATTTCTGCTTTGGATTTTAAATATTCAAGCTATTTACTCAACCAATAACTGAACTATATCCAAACATTCTGCCCAACAATCTAACCTATGTGAAAGCCAGTGTGTGTTACGTCACGTTACCTAACTTATATAAAAGCCAGTGTGTGTCACGTCACGTTACCTAACCTATATAAAAGCCAGTGTGTGTCACGTCACGTTACCTAACCTATATAAAAGCCAGTGTGTGTCACGTCATGCTTGATTTCTCGAAATAGGAGGAGTCATTAAAGTCAGAATACAGATGGAATAGTTCGACTATTGTCTACTCATTACAATTTTAGTGACAGGAATGCAAAGGGGGCCGTGAGGGGGAGGGCGTGAAACCTTATAAGTTTAGTAAGTGTTGGTATAATAAGCCTAAAGATGTAGTGTGGGATCACCTAGTCTAGAACCAAGTGCATAGAATTTATCATGAAAGTGAAAATATCAATTCAATTTTAGATTTAAATCGCTTCTGAATTAAACTATTTTCTCTTATATCACCTACGTTTTAATATAAAAACAAACCTCTTTAATCAATGGAGACTCTAAATTAAAAAAGCAACAAATATTTTTTTTCCAGTTTAGTTGCCTGTACATTTCATTTTATACTTTCAGTACATAAACTAACAACAATATTATATTATACTTTTGTTGCTAAGCAACATGACATAAAAGCAATTGTTGGAAAGTAGTGTTACCAAAATGCACTGGCTTTTCTATATATTAAAAGTTGTTAATCTAATTGATTTTTACCAATAATTATTCTATGAATACGCCACGAATTCATTTCATGAATGGTCTTAATTTTAATTGGCTCACAAAGGAACTTACCGACGTTTGACTGCCTCGACTGCACTTCTCTGCCTCTTTGTTGGTCAAACTTGATTTCGCAAAATTTATTTCAGTTAGCTATGAAATGCGAGGTTAGGGTAAACTATGGGATGGATTGTGGATGGTAATACTTGCCCCGTCATTTTTGACGGGCTATATGCTAGTTATATATAAGTAATAACTTTCAAAATCAGTTGTTTCCTCACTTAAGTTTATGACAAATGCAAACACTAAAATTACCCAGTTCCAAATCTTCCATCTTCAAAGTCGATCATACCTCAGCCAATTGGAAAATGGTATTAAATTCTATATCAGATTAATTTGTAAAATTATGCAGAACTTACAAGTTCTATATTTAATTGCAAACTCCTGTGTATTAAGTATTTTTCCACGGTTTTAAAACCCACAAATTGAAAGTGTTATTTAACACTTGAATGTCAGAAGTTACGCACATATTTCAGAACTTAATTTAAAAAATTCGGTTGCTTGGTAAATTTAAACTTTTATTTTTGGATATTTAAGTCTGGAGTTTCTTCGAGATTATGAGCTTTGGAAGCATACACTTAATTCTTCAACTGGGTATATAGCGAATGTTTACTCATCACCATACACAAACATGTGTCATGTCTGATTGTTATGCTTTTATTTCATTTCATTTTGGAAGCTTAGAAGACTGCTCATAGTATGATCTATATGGTGGTGATGAAAGCACTATGCCACATGCAGCCATAGATAACGATCCGTGTCTTTCATTTTTTATTAGCGAGAACACTGCTAACTCCAATATATACGATGTATTATAAACATTTATTCTGTTTTAAAATGATAGTAATATCAACCTAAATTTTGGGTGCCCATATAGGTGTCTGGTCCAAAT